TAAGGGTTGTAATTAGGAAGGAAGAAGAAAAGCTATAGAGGTAGCATATGGAAGAAAACATGGGAGGATTGATTATTTCTTTGACATATCTTCTTGTAGAGTACCTTAAGTATGTATAGGTTTTAAACTACTAACTAATTTGCACACACATATTAACATAATAGGAATACGGTGACATAAACAAAGCAAATCTATAATTACCATCCATCTCCAGTGAAGCCAAGAAAACCATTTAGGCACCCTAGGCATTTGTGAAAATTTATCTATGATATGATGGATATTGTCCAACTGTACTTGAACCATCAGACAAATTAAAGCAGCCCATTTCTGGGATCTGTTCACATCCCATATGTTCTTTTAACCATAGATAGTCTATAGTCATGAGATTTTGGAGTGCTACAACTTGCACCCCTCCCAACTCCTGGTTGAGTTCCAACAGTACAGATCCGGTCAAATTCGTTGTCTCACTGTATGCACATGCCAGCCTAGACATCTCCCTCCTCATTCCTATGGCAAGTCCAGGAGACGGTGGGCTGGATGCAGCCACAACCGCAGCATCGTCCGGATCCCTGTGGAGGCTTTTTGATGATCATCCCCCGGCACAAGTCCTCCAGAGAGTGCTGATGCCGGAAGCTCCTCCTCATATCGTATCTTAGTTCATTTTCTGGGTATCCAAGCTAGGCCTTGATCTTCTGCGTAGAAACAAACAGACCCTTTGCCCACACTTTGACATGCCCTCTATACCACTGTGCAGAACTCATTGGAGGTCAGCACACAGTAACTGCTTTTTTTTTTTTTTTTTAATTAAGAGAAAGGAATATTATCAGAAAAGAGTACCTCCATAGCTGATCATCTGACACCCTTTAAGTGATCAACATTAAGGATATTTAAAGCATGCGTTGATCTTTGATTTACCAATAGTTTTATCCTGTTAAGGAGTAATCCCCCTTTTCTTTCTTTCTTTCTTTTTTTTTTTTAAATTTTTAATCTACACTTACCTGAAGAATACTATGTTTACTATGCTCTCCCCTATATCAGGTCCCCCCTAACAACCACATTACGGTTACTGTCCATCAGCTTAGCAAAATGTGGTAGAGTCACTACTTGTCCTCTCTGTGTTGTGCAGCCCACCCTCCCCTTTCTCCCTCCCCCCCATGCATGCTAATCTTAATACCCCCCTTCTTCTTCCCCCCCCTTATCCCTCCCTGCCCACCCATCCTCCCCAGTTCCTTTCCCTTTGGTACCTGTTAGTCCATTTTTGGGTTCTGTAATTCTGCTGCTGTTTTGTTCCTTCAGTTTTTCCTTTGTTCCTATACTCCTCAGATGAGTGAAATCATTTGGTATTTCTCTTTCTCCGCTTGGCTTATTTCACTGAGCATAATACTCTCCAGCTCCATCCATGTTGCTGCAAATGGTTGGATTTTTCCACTTCTTATGGCTGAGTAGTATTCCATTGTGTATATGTACCACATCTTCTTTATCCATTCATCTACCGATGGACATTTAGGTTGCTTCCAATTCTTGGCTATTGTAAATAGTGCTGCGATAAACATAGGAGTGCATCTGTCTTTCTCAAACTTGATTGCTGCGTTCTTAGGGTAAATTCCTAGGAGTGGAATTCCTGGGTCAAATGGTAGGTCTGTTTTGAGCATTTTGATGCACCTCCATACTGCTTTCCACAATGGTTGAACTAATTTACATTCCCACCAGCAGTGTAGGAGGGTTCCCCTTTCTCCACAGCCTCGCCAACATTTGTTGTTGTTTGTCTTTTGGATGGCAGCTATCCTTACTGGTGTGAGGTGATACCTCATTGTAGTTTTAATTTGCATTTCTCTGATAATTAGCGATGTGGAGCATCTTTTCATGTGTCTCTTGGCCATCTGTATTTCTTTTTTGGAGAACTGTCTGTTCAGTTCCTCTGCCCATTTTTTAATTGGGTTATTTGTTTTTTGTTTGTTGAGGCGTGTGAGCTCTTTATATATTCTGGACGTCAAGCCTTTATCAGATCTGTCATTTTCAAATATATTCTCCCATACTGTAGGGTTCCTTTTTGTTCTTTTGATGGTGTCTTTCGCTGTACAGAAGCTTTTCAGCTTAATGTAGTCCCACTTGCTCATTTTTGCTGTTGTTTTCTGATTTACATTTAATAGATGATTAGCAAAGTTGAACACCTTTTCATGAGCTGTTGGCTATTTATATGTTTTCTTTGGAGAAATGTCTATTCAGGTCCTTTTCCCATTTTTCTTTTGGGTTATCTTTTTTTTTTTTGCTATTGAGTTGTATGAATTCCTTATATATATTTATTGAATATTAATTCATTATTGGATATATGGTTTGCAAATATTCCTCCCATTCTATAGGTTGCCTTTTAATTTTACTGATGGTTTCCTTTGCTATGCTGAAGCTTTTTACTTTTAGTTCCATTTGTTAATTTCTGTTTTTGTTGCCTTTGCTTTTAGCATCTAATTCTGCCCCTGCCCCTCCCCCCCAAAATTAATTGCCAAGACCATTGTCAAGGAGCTCACACCCTTGTTTTCTTCTAGGAGCTTTACACTTTCAGGTCTTCATTCAAGTCTGAGAAAGGTGTCCAGTTTCATTCTTTTGCATGTGAATATTCAATTTTCCCAACATCATTTATTGAAAATACTCTCCTTTCACCATTGTGTGTTCTTGGCACCCTTGTCAAAGATTAGTTGGCTGTATATACATGGGTTTATTCCTGGGCTTTCTATTCTGTTTCATTGGCCTGTGTATCTTCTTTTATTTTTTAATGGCTGGCCATTTTGTTTATCACAACTAGAATCTTGTCATGACTGGGTTGCTACTTGAAGTCTAGCAGGTAGAGGCCTGCGATGTAACTAAATATCCTACATGAACAGGAAAATGCTTCACAACAAAGAATAATCCAGCCCCAAATGACAGTAGTGGCAAAACTGAGAAACTCTGCCCTAGTCCACACCACCAAAATCTCTTACTACTTGAAATATTGTAATCGCCATCTAACTGGGTTTCCTTCTACTTTTAACCTTATACAATCTCTTCTACACACAGCACTGCCATATTTTCTTTTAAAAACACAAATCAAATCTTGACACTTCTCAGCTTAAAACCTTCCAGTTGTTTCCCATTATACTTAGGATGAAATTCCAAGTCCTTAACATAAAGGTGGTTTGATAGTTTTGCATTATATGGTCCTGCTTACTTGTTACCTCCTTTCATATCACTGCCCCTTTGACTACCATGCTTGAGATTTACCTACCATCTCATCGAACATCGGAAACGGTGAACTTACTCCTACCTGAGGGCCTTTGAACTTATGTTCCATCTGCTTCAAAGTTCTTTTCTACAGGTTTTCACATGGTGGGCTGATTCTCATCTTCCAAGACTCAGGTTGTGTTTTTTCATACAATAGTACACAACAGCAGTAATACAATTCCTTCCAGGTTTCCGGACCTGATTCCAATGTGTGTGTGTGGGAAGGGGTCTTTCCACCCACAACACCAAGCAGTTCTTGAAAACCAGCAGGGTGTCTAAGAAATCAGTTCTGATGCTGTCTGCCCGGAGACAGCACAGGATTCCCCTGGTTAAGGGCTCTGTCCTACAAGACTGCCCTCCACCTCGACCCCACACCCCCACCCTCGCTCCAGATGCTTCACTACAGATTGGAGGTTCCCATGACCTCCCCACCTTAGGTTTGATTAATTTACTAGAGCAGCTCACCGAACTCAGAAAAACACATAGGCATAGAAATCTTTCAACAAGCTCTCTGGTATTTTCAGGGAAGTTCAGGAATCAACGGAATAGTGTATAGGTAGGAACAATGAAAAGATTCAGGGCTGAGTGCTAACATGGCCAATATTTTTAAGGGAGGGAGGGAAAAATGGCACCCAAGGAGGAGAGAAGGAATGGTGCACTGCCCGTACCAGGGAGAACGTCTCAGCTGTGAAGCGGAGCCACGTCACAGCCCTCCCTGACTGGTCTATAGTCTGCTTGGGCCACTGTAATAAAACAACATAAATTGTATGACTTAAACAATAGGGATTTATTTTCTCACAGTTCTGGAGGCTGGAAAATCTAAGATCAAGGTTCCAGCGGCATTTGGTGTCCCCTGAGAGCTCCATTCCTGGCTCGCAGGTGGCCTGCAGCTTGCCACACCCTCACGTGGCCTTTTCTTTGCAGTGCACAGGTTGAGAAAGAGTGAGTCTCTCCCTCTCTTCTCGTAAAGCCACCAGTCCTATCAGATTAGGTGACATCATTTAACTTTAATTATCTCCTAAAGACACTGTTTCTAAATATAGTCACATTGGGGGTTAGAGCTTCAGTAAATGAATTTTGGAGGAGTACAATTCAGTCTGTAGTAATTGGTGTTTCCCTTTATCATAAATGAAGAAAATTACTTGAACATAATATGATCCAAGAGGATCACCACATCAGTACTACGTTCTTGTTCTTTCAGACCATAAAAGCAAAACTCAGCTAAAACAGGGTGCTTGTTTTGGTCAAAACTGCATGAGACTTTTACCAAGGGTATGGAAATACATATTTGATTTTTTTTTTGGTATCATTAATCTACAATTACATGAGGAACATCATGTTTACTAGACTCCCCCCTTCACCAAGTCCCCCCCACATACCGCATTATCACTGTCCATCAGCATAGTAAGATGCTGTAGAATCACTACTTGTCTTCTCTGTGTTGCACAGCCCTCCCCGTGCCCCCCCACACTATACATGCTAATTGTAAGGCCCCTTTCTTCTTCTTGCCCTCCCCTCCCTTCCTACCCATCCTCCCCAGTTGTATTTGATTTTTATTGTTATGACAGGTCCTCGTATTAGGTGTATGGAAGTTTACAGAAATAAAAAACCATTTTGTGAATAACTAATACCTGGCCCTCTTTCCATTCAGAATTTTAAACATGGTTTCCCTTTCCTTTGTTCCAAAAAAACTCACTTTGCTTTTTAAAATTCTCTAGCAGTCTGTCAATATTTTGGTTTTATAGGCATGACAAGGAGGTTTTATGGACATGGAAAATAAATCCACACAGAAGTCCTGAAGATGCTGGGACTGGCAGAATTGGAGGTAGGAATTTTACTTTAAGATCATTTGAGTAATTTCAAGTACATTTGATAAATTATTTTACTTGTTTCTCTCTCATTTTTTGCCAATATTTGAGAGAATAATTGGTTTACATTTTATATCAATTTAAGGAAAACACAAACAAAAGAAAAAAGAAAAGCAAAAGAGAAAACACCCCCAATCTTGACAGAGATGATCATCTCATTCCTCAGACGACTGTGTGTTCTCTTCTTCATCATCTTCGGGAAGCCAGACCAAGTACTCAAGGTAAGTTCATCATCCTGTTAAAAGTGTCTTATAGGTAAGATGACTTTGAAAAAAATTACTTAAAACTCCTTCATAACTTCTGTTTATCCAAGAAATGTTCCATGAGAAGACCCACTGTGTGCCAGGCATAATGCTCCATGGCATGGTGCTTCAGCCAAGGAAGCCTTATTACATTGGGCAATGAAGACAAATAGTCCACTGCAGTGCAGTGAGTGCTATGACTTGGTGCATGTGTTACAGGGGACTGTGATTAGTGGTATTTTATTTGATAGGTGAGATAGGGGTAAAGTTGTTGATGAGTCATATAATAATACTGTAAACATGAATAGTGTTATTATAATGTAGATTAGAAGGTTTAGGATAGCAGTGTCCGGATTGTATACTATGATTATTGTCATTCAGCCTATGTGAGCGCGATTGAGGAATATGCTACAATTTCCCGTAGTTGAGTTTGATTTAGATCTCCTCAACCTCCAATTAGAATTGAAAGGGAGGCTATGGTAGCGAGTATGTTTATGCTGATTGTGGGTATGATTTGGTATAGAACTGAGATAGGTGCGATTTTTTGTCAGGTTAAAAGTAGTATGCCTGATGATAATGGGGTTCCTTGTGTTACTTCTGGCACTCAGAAGTGGAATGGGGCTATTCCAAATTCTATGGCCATGGCTACAGTGAAGATGATTGATGGTGCAGTCTTGTGTATTTTTGTGATGGCTCACTGTCCGGAAGTTATTAGGTTGATGGTGATGGCTGGTATTAATAACATGGATGCAGTGGCTTGGATCAGGAAGTATTTGGTAGCTGCTTCTATGGCTCGTGGGTTGAAATTTTTTATTAAAATGGGAATCATGGCTAGTATATTTATTTCGAAGCCGATTCAAATTATTAGTCAGTGAGAGCTAATTAGGACGAGTATGGTCCCTAGGAATAGGGTTGTCAGAATGATAAATATGATGGGATTTATTAGTACGGGAAGGTTATAATCCAACATTTTCAGGGTATGGGCCCAATAGCTTATTTAGCTGACCTTACTATAGTTTATGGTGTAATTTGGTAGCACAGAGACTTTTGAGTTCTCAGGTGTGGGTTCAATGCCTGTTTTTCTAGAAATAAGAGGACTTAAACCTCTACTATTCACTCTATCAAAGTAATTCTTTTATCAGACATATTTCTTATGATTGAGGGGGAATGCTTGATACGGCGATTGGCATTGACACATATCATGTGCATAGTGCTAGTGTTAGTGTTAAAAAATTTTTTCATAATAAGTATATTAGTTGATCGTAGCGGAATCGTGGATAGGATGCTCAGATTCATAGAAATGTGGCAGTTAGAGCGAGTGTTTTTACTACAAAGTTGGTTGTGTAAATGCTTGGGATATAGGGGTCGTTGAAGGCCCCTATAAAGAGTGTTACTGAGAGGATATTTATTATGATGATGTTTGCATATTCGGCTAGGAAGAAAAGTGCAAATGGACCTGCTGCGTATTCTATATTAAAGCCTGAGATGAATTCTGATTCCCCTTCTGTTAGGTCGAAGGGTGCTTGATTGGTTTCAGCTAGGGTTGAAATGAATCATATTATGGCCAAAGGTCATGCAGGTACTAGTAATCATAATTTCTCTTGGGTAATGATTAGGGTGGAGAGTGTAAAGATAATAAGATAATTGCTAGTGTTACTTCATATGAAATAGTCTGGGCTACTGCGCATAGCGCCCCAATGAGGGCGTATTTGGAGTTGGAGGCTCATCCTGATCATAGAATAGAGTATACAGCAAGGCTTGATATGGCTAATATAAATAATACCCCTAGGTTTATGTTAACCAGGGGGTATGGTATTGGTAGTGGTACTCACATAATCAGGGCAAGTGCTAATGCTAGGATAGGTGCCATGATGAATATTGTGATTGAGGATGTTAGGGGTCGTAGTGGTTCTTTAGTGAATAGTTTTACTGCATCGGCAATCGGTTGAAGTAGACCTCAAGGACCTACAATGTTTGGGCCTTTTTGTAGTTGTATGTAGCCTAATATTTTATGTATGTAGCCTAATATTGGGATAATTATTAGTAATATGTTGATGATCTACATTAGTGCTAGGGAGAGGAGTTGAACCTCTGTTATAAAAGTTTAAGTTTTATGCAATTGCCATTCTTTGCTACCTTAGCTAAATCCTGAGTCTGGGATTAAGAGTTGTTGTGAATTGGCTAAATTGAGAAGGGTCATTTATTAATTCGAGGGCGCCTGTGTAAGGTAGGCCCTACTTCTCTTGTCCTTTCATACTGGGAGAAGTGTATAAATAGATAGAAACCGACCTGGATTACTCCGGTCTGAACTCAAATCACGTAGGACTTTAATCGTTGAACAAACAAACCATTAATAGCGGTTGCACCATTGGGATATTCTGATCCAGCATCGAGGTCGTAAACCCTGTTGTCGATATGAACTCTTGAATAGGATTGCGCTGTTATCCCTAGGGTAATTTATTCCGTTGATCAAGCGATTGCATCAATTAACGGATTATCTGGACTTACTTGTCAGTCTGGATTTGACTGCTCATAGGTTGTTTTTTGCTCCGAAGTCACCCCAACCAAAATTGACAGTTTAGATTATTAATTTTTATCTGTTTAGAGTGATATTGAGTTGATTTTAAGCTGGTTAATTAAAGCTCCATAGGGTCTTCTCGTCTTATTATATTATCCCGGCTTCTTCACGGGGAGGTCAATTTCACTGGTCACAGATGAGAGACAGTAAAGCCCTCGTTTAGCCGTTCATACTAGTCCTTATTTAGAGAACAAGTGATTATGCTGCCTTTGCACGGTCAGGATACCGCGGCCGTTTAACGTGAGTCACTGGGCAGGCAGTGCCTCTAATACTGGTTATGCTAGAGGTGATGTTTTTGGTAAACAGGCGGGGCTTGTGTTTGCTGAGTTCCTTTCATTTGTTTTAACCTTTCCTTTAGATTATGCACACCTGTGTTGGGTTAACGGTTCATTTAACAAAGTTTTATTTTTGGATTTAGTTTGTTTTGCTGTTAACTATCAGTGGGTTATCCGTTCTGATATAAGCTTGTGCAAGGAGATTTATTTCTTGTTACTCATACTAACAGTATTTCTTCTATTTGTTAATAGATTAGTCCAATATTAATTTAGGAGTTAATTTTGATTTGTGGTATTAGTTATGCTTTATTGTTGAGCTTAGACTCTTTCTTAATTGATGGCTGCTTCTAAGCCAACTATGGTTATTTTACTATTTACTCTCTAATTAAGATTTAATTCTGTTTGTAAAAAGCTGTACCTTTTTAGACTATACTTGAAAGTTACATTATAGTTTTTGGGCTTTTAGGTATATTTCAAGTTGAACTTAAATTCATTTTTTGGACAACCAGCTATCACCAGGCTCGTTAGGCTTTTCACCTCTACCTGCAAGTCTTCTCACTATTTTCCACATAGATGAGTGGGTTCTTTAAACTGCTCATAGGTAGCTCGTCTGGTTTCGCGGTTTCCGGCTTACGTTCTCTTTGTTGGAAGTTTTCTAGTTAGCTCATTATGCAAAAGGTATAAGGGGTAATCTTTGCTATTTTATACTGTAGACACATCTTTCATCTTTCCCTTATGGTACTCCTTCTATAGTGCCATATTATAATTTCTATCGCCTATACTTTAATTTGGTAAATGCTTTGGTTTATAAAATTTCTAATTTTACGTTGAGTGTTAGTTGGGCTAGCGTTTGTTCAAAGTAAACATATTATTGAGATCATCTGGGTGTAGGCCATATGGTTTATTTAAGCTACACTTTGATTGCCCAAGCACACTTTCCAGTATGCTTACCTTGTTACGACTTATCTCTTCTTATGCTCTAATATTTAGCTAATAACGTATAGTGGTATTTAAGGATTTGAAGAGGGTGACGGGCGGTGTGTGCGTGCTTTAGGGCCAAGTTCAGTTGAGCTTTCTATTCTCAGCTTACTGCTAAATCCTCCTTTGGCCCTCATTTTTATGAGGGTGTTCATTTATATTCTATTTTAGAAAATGTAGCCCATTTCTTTCCAATCCATAGGCTACACCCTGACCTAACGTATTTATATTTTATTAATCTTGCTTACTATGTCTCCTTTTTAGGGTTTGCTGAAGATGGCGGTGTATAGGCTGTATTAGCGAGGATTGGTGAGGTCTATCTGGGTTTATCGATTATAGAACAGCTTCTCTATAGGGGTATAAAGCACCGCCAAGTCCTTTGAGTTTTAGGCTGTTGCTAGTAGTGCTCTGGCGAATAATTTTGTTTGGTGAATTATTTAAGTTTAGAGCTAAGCATAGTGGGGTATCTAATCCCAGTTTGGGCCTTAGCTATCGTGTGTCGGTTTGATTAAAGTTACCTTCATAATTCATTTTTACTATGACCATGACTTTTTACAGTTTGGTTAAGGCTTAACTTTATTTGAGTTCAATGCACCTTAGCACGTTTTATGCAGATTTTTTATTAATCAGGGTTAATCATATGACCGCGGTGGCTGGCATGAAATTTACCAACCCAGTACAATATGGCTAAGTCAAACTTTCATTTATGGCTTAATTTTTATCACTGCTGTCTCCTGTGGGGGTTTGGCTAAGCAAGGTGTTATTAGCTATCTTATTGGTGTGCTTGATACCAGCTCCTTTTGGTTCTATATAACTTGAAGGGCATTTTCACTGGGAGGCGGATACTTGCATGTGTAATTCTATTGAAAATTAATAAAAAGGCTGAGACCAAACCTATGTGTTTATGGAGTTTGTGAACTCATCTAAGCATTTTCAATGCTTTGCTTTAATTTTACATTAATTAAATAATGTTTGAAATACATTAACCTTTATTTCAAAATACATAGGGGGCTAGTAGTTTATATTACAGGCACCTATAAGGATTGATTGATATTTATATATAAGAGTATTCTCTGTGGCTAATAGAAATCATTATGTAGCCATTATGAGGCTTTCCAGCCATATATGTCCAAGCATCTAAGTATTTT